AGAAACACTTTAATGGGTTGTGGGCTTCATGGACCCAGAATCTAAAACGTTGACATTTGATCCACGCTTCTCTTGGCTGTGAGTTTTCAAAGTGCTCTAAACTCACAATGCAGATATTTTCATTATCTGAAGAGTTGGCATCTCCTGTGTCATCAGTCTTAGGCCTTTTGTCACTTTCTTCTTTTGACCCTGATACTTGATTTCTGATTTTGCGCTGCTTCCCGGTGTGTCTGTGAGAACTTCAGACTGCCTTGTACTACTTGGCTACAAGTTCCTCCTGTTCCTCACTCAAGACATTCTTGTTACTGTGGTCGCCTACATGGCTCCTCGCTGTTACTCTGTTCCCTTAGCTTCTCTGCAGCTTTACAATATCTGCAGATGGCCTTGGCAACCTGTCTCACAGATGGCCAAAGATAAATCATAGAAGTGACCATAAACTCTAAATCATCAGGTCAGTTATAATATATCTGATAACCTCAATTTATTCCAGAATCCATCACCTGTCTGCATCAATATTAGTCTTTAAACTACAGATTCAAAAGGGGAAACCATTTTAAAATGAAATCAAACACATTTTGAGTCCAACCTGAGATCAATCAGACTGCGCTAGGATTCATCCCCTCCTCCACTTTCACTTTCCTTCTACTTCAGTCAGAGTAGAGCAGACTTCAGCCGTTAAATAAATAAACAGGTGATTAGACTGGCAGGATGTCGGGATACTACTCGTGACCCCACTTGACCCCTAATGACCCGTCACATGTGGTCATGTGACCACAACGGTAAAATTCACAGGAGTTAGAATCTGGTTGTTCTCCAAGGGGTCCGAAAGAAGGCAACTGGACTTCTTTGGTTTCTTGAAGACTCAGCTTCTCATCCGAGGAGCTGTACCCATTCTGCCTGGAATATGGGAGCTGTAGCTGTTTGTTGTTGTTCTGTTACCATCCAGGATTACTTGATTACTTTTGTATAATATTTGGCGTATTATCACACCACGTGTTCATCACACAACACACCAATGCTACTGGACCAATTTTAATCTTATTTATGCTTTTTTCTTTTTTTTCTTTTTTTTTGCTGTTTATTGATTGATTTAGCACGCTTGATTTTCCAGGTGATTTATTCATGTAAAATCCAGAAAATGGCATTTGGGGAACAAAAAGTCTACTTTTGGAGGACCTTAGCGAAGCGGTGTTCTACAAACATGACATGGATTCTTCAATAGTCATTTTGACTCTGATTTGGTTTACTGCTCATGCTGGATTGGCTCACACACACACACACACACACACACACACACACACACACACACACACACACACACACACACACACACACACACACAGATTCAGTTACAAGTGACCATGCAGCTTAGGCAGCCCTCTCCAGCAGTTATAATTTTGTTTAGACGCTGTCAGCTGCATTTTTATGCCGATCGCTCTGATTTTAAGAAACAGCAGCAAATGTTTATGCATCAGAGCTCTGTACACTGTTTCAGTTTTCCTACTGGCAGGTGAAAACAATTTAAAGTTGCATTAACTCAAGGTTAATTGAAATCACTAATTTAAGGACTGATTTAACTATAAGTGACTATGCATCTCCAAAAATTCTGTTTTTATTCAACTTTGCACAACAACCCAAACACACAACATCTTTTTCTTTAGAAGATAATGATTCACTTTACTTCCTTGTCTTGGAAATTCAAACAGAAAAGATTATAAAATCTGATTTGATAAATGTCTCTTTTCTTCAATTTTATGGATTTTACTGTTGCACGCGTTGCATGTTTTTATATAACATAAAATATATACCATTAAATAATCCTAAAAAATAAATAAAGTATGCTAAACACTTTACTGTAATATAGATACAACATATTAGGAAAGTAATAAAAGTTAGTTGCTGCCTGTAAATAAAAAACACCAATAAAACATATTAATGTCAAAGGTATTATATATTTAGATGTAATGCACCAGAAGTCTTTACTATTTTTGATTAACGTCTTTATAAAGTTTCAGTCAGTTTAGGTTAGCTCAGTTAATGATGACATCTGTAGTGTGGAGGGTAAAGAAAGATAAAGGTAACCAGGACGGTTCCCTGTGGGACGCCTCCTGCTGCAGAGAAGCGGACGGGTCTCAGAACAGATCCTTTTTTCAGCTCTGAGTGGTAAAAAAAAGAGGAGATGAAGAAACAAATATTGTTTCTTTTTTAATAGTGAAATCAAATTATAAATGTTCATCTGACTAACTGAAAAAATATGTAATAAAATAATGTAAAGGACATTTAATAGTATATCTATTTTGAGTAATATGATTGCGTGAAAATGAACAATAAAGAAACGCGTTGGAACAATGCTAGTTTCAGTTCTTCATCTAACAATCTTTGGTAACTTATAAAATTGATTTGTGTAATTTCACCAGTTTTGAACTTCTAAAAGTACTTTGTTCTCTTACAGACTCTGATTGATGTAATTTAGTCCCCAAAGTCACAGTTTGATTAGCAGACTTCAGTCCACCAGCCACTCTGCGATAAGAAGATAAGAATTTGCAGAGGAGAAATTACACACAGATAAGAACATATGTGAACAACTCTGGAGGTCAGCACCTGCACCTATTTTGTTCTTTTTCTGCTTCTGATATCTGTTATCATTCCCTCCTCCTTCAGTTTTGGGTTTCCTCCCCCTTCTGCCTAAGTGCAGGTTGCTTTTGTGTGACAGAAACACGTCAGGCCGCTCTGTGTGTGTGTGTGTGTGTGTGTGTGTGTGTGTGTGTGTGTGTGTGTGTGTGTGTGTGTGTGTGTGTTTAGATTCTTATCATTTGGGTGGTAATATTTAAGATATAGATCTATATGCATAGTTGGTGATTGTATGAAAGTTGAAAGGAAAAGAGGTCTGTTTGTGCGCCTAGTGTGAGTGGGTGCACATGTTATGTTCTTTAAAAGGGGAAATTTGGCTAAAAGCACAATCGTGCTATTCGGGCAGGGGCTTTTCGGGTCGCAGTCTCCCTAGGGTCCCTGTGCTCTGGGACAGCTCCTGGATCTCTAAGACTTGGAGCTCCTTCCATCTCCTACACATCTTTGGGGGGCGGATCTGTAGAAGAAGAAGAAGAAGAAGAAGAAGAAGAAAATATCATTTCTATAGCGCCTCTCAAGATAAAAATCACGAGGCGCTTCACAAAAACAAAAACAAAATGTAACAATGTAAAAAAGCATTTAGAAAATGTTTAAAAATATATTTTAAATGAGCAAAAATAGGCAATTGGGATTTAAAAGAAAAATGTTAAGAAAGAGAGAGAGTGATACCAAACTTTACAATTTTACAATTATAGACACACTATGACTCTGCACCTGTTTCTGGATGAAAGACTCCATCACTGAACTCACACAGAGTCAAAACTGGCCTGTACACTTATATACCCCTTCATTACTGGCTCCCCAAAGGGCAGTGTGTTGAGCTCCTCCCTCTACTCTCTGTACACCAAATTACCCATCAAACCATCATCAAATATGAAGAAGATACAACCATCATTGGACTCATCTCTGAAGAAAATGAGTACAATACCGAGATGAGATCCAGAAACAATCAACGTGGCACTCTGCAAACAACGCATCACTAAACATCTCAAAAACAAATGAAATTACTCTGAAATTCAAACACAAAACAGAAACACCCCTAAAATTACATCAAAGTGGAGCTAGTGCAGTCCTTCAAATTCCTGGGCCTCAATCTCTCAGAGGACCTCACCTGATCATTCACACCACCCAAAGGCTGTACTTCCCCTGGATGGATCTGGTTAGTGAGCTGCATCTTTCTGGCCTGTGAGCTACATATTGTGGACCCCTAGATGTAATTGTTTTCACTACATTCTAGGATGCTCTATATTGCCTTTTTTACTAATATCTGATTTACCAATATTGTCGACTCTTAATTTCCTATAAAAATCAATACAAGCTCAATATATGCTCTAATAAAAAAAGAAAAACTAAAACATTTTAGGTTTTTAACATCTCTAATCATTTATCATGCATGCTTATATTTTAAACATTTTCTGTGCAAAATGGCAACTACTTCAATTTAATTAACAGGAAAAGTGCCATATTGATTTTGTCTCCCAACAGTAGCTGAATCTCTTTCTCCCCAAGTGTGACGCTAAGATGGTGTATTAGTTGGTAAAGGATTTTTTTCTTAATCTGTAAATTGCAACTATGATGATAAAACATTTCTAAAGATCTTCAGATGAGAAAAGCAAGCCTTGGGTGAATATTCTTGTTGTTGTTTTAGTGGTTTTAGTGGTAAAAGTTGGGTCATTAAAAGACTGAAAACCAATACATATTCTCCAATATTAAATTTTAATGGCAATATCAGAGACATTAATGTTAGACCAATATCTGACATCTCGTCATGCCATTAGGATGCAGTGTAGTATCGTATGTGCTTCTCGTCATTAGACGATAATGAGCTACAGCCAGAGCTGCTGTCCTTAAGTTCTATTAAGCTAGGAGCGGTGCACTGTTTGAGAGTGACCCTTACTGCACACTGGAAGCAAAAGCACCGCAGAATGGCAGTGGAGAGGTTTACTCGCGAAAATCGCTGCACATCAGCGCACACCGGGATAGGATCAGCCGCGAAGCAGCTGCTCCGCTGTGCTCCTCGTTCGACTTGCGAGATCACACGATCTCTAGAGACTTCACAGGCTACAGTTTGTTTATGCCATCCGCCATTAAACCAAAAAGAAGGAAATCACGTTGTTATCACTGTTTGATGTCATATATGATGTTGTTCCTCTCCACTGCCAGGAATAAAGCCATGAAAAACATGCCACTGCACTTCTGGAATGATACTGAGAGTAAATAAGCCGATCACACGTAGGCTTCATTTATGTGAAATTGCATCGCTGCAATACTTTTATTTTAAAAATTACCAGGGATTTTACACTGAAACTGTGTGTGATTTCCTGTCTAGCCCAATGGTAACTGCGGAAATTGGCGCATCCCAGAAGCGGCTCGCGGAAAAATTTGAACACGATCTTATCTTTAGCTCCTCGGCATGCCGCTCCTGGGCCGCGTCTGAAAATTGCCGCTGGTTTGTGACACTCCATATACTATAATGGATTCTATTTCAAGTGGTGCCGTGTCGCTGGCGTTCCACGGTGCTTTTGCTGCCAGTGTGCAGTAGGCTTGAGAGTACACCATGGCATGTAAATGCAAATTTTTAAACTAGTTAAAATTAAATGTGCATATGATAAAATACACAGAAATTTAAACCCAACACCCAACAGCACAATGACAAATGAAGAAAAAATGTACCTATCTTATATTTCTTCTTGATGTCCTCTGATGGTTCTGCATATTTTGAGCTCTGGCTCAGCAGTTCTACCTGATCTGAAAAATAAAGAACATGCAGAATATATTAGTAACCAAGGTGCATCAACTACATTTATGTACCAAGTCACACTGCAGTGAGTCTATGGGTTTCAGCAAGAAGGAAAGAAAAGCTGTAGAAGACAGTAGTGAGAGCAGCCATGTTGTCTGGTTAAGAAACGGCATCAATGAAGAAAAGACGGGAGGTAGAACTGGAGGTTGCAGAGCTCAAAATGTTGAGGTCATCTTTGGGAGTGATGAGGATGGAAAAGATCAGGAATGAGTGTCACATATGTAAAATCCGTCTGCAGTGAACCTTGTGCTGTCTCACCATCTGAATCTTCAGCTGGTTCAACCTTCTTCCTTGGCCCTTTTCCTCTGTGGGTCCCTTCAAAGAGAAGAAAAACAGTTGTAAAATCAAGTGTGACCTTATGATCATTAGGTACTTTAGCCAAGCAAAAGTTTATCTCTTTTTCCTGCTGTCTGTCTGTGATCATCTGATGGTTCTGCTCTTGTGGGCCTCTGAGTCAGAATGTCAGGTTCTACAAGACAAAACATTCATGAACACCAATCCTGTCTGACAGATACCAACTAAAATACTCAAATGTTATCAAATAAATAAGAAAAAAAGTTTTTTACCTCACTAAATCCTACAATAATTTTTTAATGCCATGAAACTAAAATATTAAACTAATAGTCAATAGATAACTGAAAATCAACGAGAACGGTTACAGTTGGTCGCTAAGTAAAAAATGTTTTCAATTCTACAAATTGTTTAGTTCCATTTTTCTGTTCTTATCATACACAGCGTAGCAAAGTTTCAGTTTTTAGCTTATTTTGCTGACAGTTTCAGCTACTTCCCGAAGATGACAGGAAGTACCCAAAACTGTCAGCAACATAAGGTAAAACATAAACTTTGCTACTCTGTATGAGATAAGATCAGAAAAATGGAACTAGAAAAGAAACACAGAAAGAACATAACAAGGAGTTTTAAAGAAAAATACAAATATTTTTTTTCTCTGTGGCACTATTTCTGCCACATATACACAATTTGAATTAGTATCTCAAACTATTGACTATTCATTTGAAATGTGACTGAACACATGGTCATCATGTTATCTTGTACCGTCTGAATCATCAGCCTGCTCAGATGCATCCTCAGGTTGGACTTCGGAATCACTTTGACTGACTCGTGGTGCGTGTGTAGGTTCTTTTCCAGACAAAGCAACTGTTAAAATAAAAACAGAAGGTTCTAATTTTATGCTTTAATTTAGTTGAATTTCAAATAAGTCATCTAAAATATGCTCACTTTCTAAGCTCAGATCAATCTCATCCAGAGATTTTCCCTTGTACATTTCTGTTCCCAGCTCCATTGCCATCAGGAGCTTGCTGACTTTGGCCAGCTGAAGTGTGTTTTCTGTTAGCCTGTAGTATTCACGATGTACACGAATATCGTGCCCCATGAACTTGGTCAGCTGATCCAGTTCATTGTCTCTCAGGTTCATTATCTGAGTGGCCACATGCTTCCTCAGCTGAGTGGATGTGAGGGTCTCCGGTCTTCTTGCCCCACTTTTAGATGAAAACTTCCTTAAAGAGTCTGAACCTCAAATATGACAGTCTGATTTTCGTCTCGCAAAGACTTATTTATTGCTCTCCAAAATTTCATTTTCCTTACTCCTCTGGGCAATGAGAAAATCTATAGACTGTGTCATCTCACTTGTAAGTAGCACTGGCACTTTTTGACCCCTTTTACCTCGGACCAACAGCCTCGTTAACTTGTGACTCAGATCCTGTTCCAATTTTGAGAGGCACTTCATCACATCCTCATTTGGTTCTTCAGACAGTCTGTCTCTGTAGGTCAGCAGAGGTATTTTTGATGCCTCGCCCTGCTGCCGTCTGTTAAACAGAATGATCTGTGTGAGAAGACTTTCACTGAGTGTCTTGTAAGCCATGGGATTTGGTCCTTCCAATAGTTTCTGCTTTGCTTCCTCCTCTGAAGCCTTCAGCACTTTATGAAGCTTCATCAGATCTTCTGTCAGTGGGATCATTTCTTTCTTGTTCCATTTTTCCTCTTCCAGGTTTGTTCTTGCACAGCGGGATACAAAGATGTTCCACTCTGAAGCCAAGAGTGATGAGAAGTTCTTCAATCTGGTTGCAGCTGATTCATCTTCAGCCTGTATGTGCCGTCCAATCAGAACCTCACATGCTGCCTTCAGAGAATGCCCCAACTTAACTGCAAGTGATGGTGTTGCATATCTGGACTGGTGATTGGTAAAACCAGATGCTTTCTTTGCTGCTGCCACAGCTAATGCAAATCAAGTCTGTTGATTTTGCAGTCCTTAAGATTTAGCTGCCAAAACAAATTTCCCAACCACTCTTTCCTTCTGGCTGACATGGCCATCTCTGGATTTATCTCCTCCTTACTTCTCAAGTAGTCTTTCTCCCAGTTCACAGATGAGTGGGTCATTTTTTACCTGAGCTGACACTTCATCAACCATCATCCTGCTGAGGATGTTGGAACATCTTCATGAGCAGTGTCCTCTGGATGGCAGAGGAGCCACTGCAGCAGACTGAACTCTGCGCTTCTTTTGGGAATTGTCCGAATGTCCTGTAACTTTTTGACACTGCTTTGCCTGTCTCCACAGGTCGACTTTAGAACAGAATCCAAAACAAAGGATGCATGGTAATTAAATTTCTGCATCTACTTGTTCTGTTGGCCTTCTGTAGGTCAGTATCTCACCCTTTCCTTCCTGCAGCACTTTAACATTGTGGTAGTAATTCCCCTTCCTGCGCAGTAGCTCAAATATTTGCCGCTGTTTCTTTGAATTTTTTGGCAGACAAAAAATGTTGCTTGGGCAACTTCTTTTTCATCGCCATGTTTACGGATTAAATGTCGTGCCATTTTGCTAAGTGGTTTTTGACAGTAAACACAATACTGCCTTTTGTCATACTTTCTTTTGTCTCCTTTAGTGCAAGTTTTAACGGTAACACATGACCTACCCTCATCATCTTCATATTCCTCCGGATTTTCTTCCTCAGTATCTGCATTGTAATCCTTGTCCAGAGCTTCATTACTTTTACCACTGTCCATCAGTGTCTTCTGTTCATGAACATAGCTTTGGCTGAGAGAGGTTTTGCCAGGGTTTTTTAAAGCATCATGTGTCTTCATGAGCTTAGACTGTGAAGAGGTTAGCTCATCCTCTGAGGAAGGAGGAGCTAATGGGATATAATCACTGTCCAAATCATAGCTGGAGTCTGAGAGAAAGTCCTCTGAAGCAGAAAGCTCCTGAAAGAAATAGAGCAAAGACAAGTTTAGGACAGGAATTTCTAAACCACAATTCTTAACTTTACCTTTAATTACACTTCAGAAAAATCTTTCCAGCTGCTGACTTCGGTTAATTCTTGCACTTCTTACCTTGCTGCTGTATTTTCAAAAACTTTTCTCTATAATACGTTTAGCTCTAATATAGGGCTGGACAATAATTCAATAGTTCAATATATCTGTGGATAGACATGTGGTGCGATAGATAAAAAAACTGGTCGATAAAAATTTGATAAAAAAGTATCAGGTAGCAGCATACTAGACTCACTACTTACTCCTAACCAATCAAAACCACAGACTCGGCACGCTACGTGAACAGGCCCTCCCCTCTCAAGCCAATAGAGAGCGAGAGGCAGCAAGATGTCTAGGGCTGCCATCATTAGTCGACTCGTCACGACAACGCCGACAAATAAAATAAACCTTATTTTATAAACAATTTTTTTAAATCTCGCCTGCTGTGGCACGTTTGGCTTTTGCTTCCTGCCTCTCTGCTCAGCCACCGCTTTGGCTCCGAGGCGCATGCGCATTGGTGGCCATCCAGCTCAGCCTTCATCATCGGAGAAAGTGTCGAGTCGCAACATATCTGAAAAGTTTGGGAGCATTATACTAACTCAAAAGAAAGCCAAGTAGTGCAAACTCTGCAAAGCGAAACTCTCCTTTCACAGGAGCACATCAGCAATGCATGAGCATCTTAAGAGGAAGAACAGAGTCCCCTCTGTAAGTTTCCCTCTTGTTAGCTGCTAACATCAACAGAGGTTATGTTTATGCTTATGTATTTAGCAGACGCTTTTGTCCAAAGCGACTTACAGGTGATAATCGGCATGTTGCCCTTGAGGCTAACAATAACAATAACAACAACAACTTGACATCAATCATGGAGAGGAGGGAACAAGGAGTGGACAGTAGAGAGGGGGGACGGGTGCAGGGAGAGTGCTAGTTTAGAAGATGCTCTCTGAAGAGCAGGGTCTTCAGGAGTTTCTTGAAAATTGAAAAGGAAGCCCCTGTTCTGGTAGTGCTTGGTAGGTCATTCCATATTTGTGGAACGATGCATGAGAAGAGTCTGGATTGTCCTGAGCATGGTGTAGGCACTGATAGCCGATGATCCTGTGATGACCGGAGCGGCGGGGCCGAGACGTAAGCCTTTGCAAGAGGATTCAGGTAGATGGGAGCTGAACATCTCGGACTTTGAATGCTAGTGTTAGCAGTTTGAATTTGATGCATGCTGCTAGTGTTAGCCAGTGGAGCTCAATGAACAGAGGGGTGACGTGTGCTCTTTTTGGCTGGTTGAAGACCAGACGCGCCGCTGTGTTCTGGACCATTTGAAGAGGTCTGACAGTACAGCCTGGAAGACCAGTTAGAAGGGCATTGCAGTAATCGTGGTAGAAGATGACAGTAGATTGCACCAGGAGCTGGGTGACATGTTGTATTAGGTATGGTCTGATCTTTCGTATGTTATACAGCGCAAAGCGGCATGAATGAGCAACAGAGGCAACATGATCTTTAAAGGTCAGGTGTTCATCAATCACAACACCCAGATTTCGAACTGCCTTTGAAGGAGCCAGAGATAGGAAGTCATTCTGGATTGAGATATTGTGCTGGAGGGATGGTTTTGCTGGGATGACAAGTAGATCAGTTTTAGAGAAGTTGAGTTGGAGATGGTGGGATTTCATCCATTTTGTTTTGTCAGAGAGACAGTTTGATATTCGTGCAGAGACAGTGTGGTCATCCGGTGGAAAGGACAGATAGAGCTGGGTGTCGTCTGCATAGCAGTGGTAGGAGAAGCCATGTGATCGAATGATCTCACCCAGTGAGGTGGTGTATATGGCAAAGAGAAGAGGTCCTAGTATGGAGCCCTGGGGGACTCCTGTGGCAAGATGGTGCACGGTAGAGGATTGTCCAAGCCAAGATACTCTGAATGATCGTCTTGTGAGGTACGATTGAAACCAGGCGTGTGCTTTCTCTGTGATGCCCATGATAGAGAGTGTGGACAAAAGGAAGCCATGGCTGACAGTGTCAAATGCAGCCGATAAGTCGAGCAGGGTAAGCACTGAAGATTTGGCAATCGCTCTAGCTTCTTTCATGGATTCCCTCACTGCTAACAGAGCAGTTTCAGTGTAGTGGCCCTTTTTGAACCCAGATTGCTAAAGGTCAAGCAGACAGTTTCGTAAGAGATATTCTGCGATCTGCTTGAAAGCCACCCTTTCAATGATTTTGGACAGAAAAGGGAGGAGAGAGATAGGTCAGTAGTTCTCCACATGATTTGGAGGAAGAGATGGGGTTTTTTTTAGCAGCGGTTTAACCTGAGCATGCTTGAGAGAGGTAGGAAATGTACCGGATGTCAGTGAAGCATTGATCACATGTGTGACTGCTGCGGCTACTGTAGGAGCAATAGCTTGGAGCAGCTTAGTCGGAATGGGGTCAAGTGGGCATGTAGTAGGGCGGCTGCACGTGAGAAGCTTGGACACACAGTTCTCAGTGAGAGGGGAAAAAGAGGAAAATGAAGCAGCAGGGCTTGAGATGGTTGGGCTAGAAGGAGTTTGTGGTAGCGAATGTTCAAGAGTGGCCAGTTGAGTAAACTGTTTGCTTATAGCTGCCACTTTGTCAGTGAAGAATGGGTTAAAGGTGTCAGCTGATAAGACTGTTGGTAGGAGGTGGAGATGGAGGGTTGAGCAGAGTTTTGAATGTTGAAAATAGTTTATGAGTGTCAGTAGAGCTGAGAATTTTGTCAGTGCGCTTTCTTTGCATCAGTGATGCTGGCAGAGAATGAGGACTGTAATTCATGAAATTTCAATTAATCACCAGGATCTTTTGTTTTGCGCCATTTCCGTTCTGCAGCACTAAGATTGGTGAGTAGAGACCGGAGGGTAGCCAAGGGTGCGACTGAGAGGATCTAGCTGGTCTAGTGGCTAACGGGCACAAGTTGTTAAGACAAGAGCAGAGTGTGGAGCAGAGTGACTCGGTGGCATCATTCACTTCATAAGCAGAGAATGTGTTGGAAGATGGAAGAGTGGAGGCAACAAGAGAGGATAAGTGGTTGGGTGCAATACTGCGGAGGAATGAGACCATTGGGGAGGAAGTAGTGGACCTCCCTTGTAGAGTCGTGCTGAAATGGATGAAGTAATGATGTCTAAACAAATTTAATCCAAAACTAAAGCAGTGAATATTTAGTTTGATTACCAGCTGCCTTCATGGTGACCACCATCCTAAAGATGTTTCTAAAACTATTGTTTTTGGGAAAAAAATAAATAAAATAAAGTCTGTTATTTGTATTTTCTTTTCAAGAAAAAGAAGGGAGAAAAAAATAAAATTCAATTAAAATTTGGAAGAAAAAAATCTGAGATTTTATTTTTAAGCCATATTTAAGCCCTATAGGATAAATTAAGAAATACTTACCATTATCTCTTCCTGTTCTTCTTCATTCAGCTCATTATCTAAAAAAAATAAAAATATGTAAATGTGAAGAAACTTGCCCCCAGTGCATTCATTTCTAAGGCACTTACCCAACTTAACAGCACATTTTATCAAGCTTTTTCACAAAATCAGACACATGACATGGCATAATTAATATATAAATATAATTAAACAAAATAAATGTAAAGATAAAATCCAATCAGGAAGGCTAGAAAAGTCAATAGTAATCCCACATGATCTGTTTTCAATTGTACGCCGGTTGTGTTAACCGTTAGCTGAACAAAAACTGGCACTTGGTCTGGCGTAATTGCTCACTCTGCGTTGACTTTGGACAGTGAGGAGACCCATCCAATACGGCGACGACACTGTTACGTTCTCCAGTGGCCAATGGGGCATCTATGTATTCATGGCTATGATTGGGAGTATTTTCCTTGTTTTAGGTAATACTTTCAGGGTTTTTCCCGGCTCAAATTGAGGGAGAGGTGGTACCATCCTAACCATGCGCCAGCACATGCATACTCTGTGCATTCAACTGCCTCACTTTGTTAAGGGCAAAATATGTTTTCGTTAAGTGTTCTTATCTAAGCTTCTGTTAATTGAATATTCCATTTGACAATGTTTCAAGTGAAACAAAACTGGTCTGCTGCTAAAACATATGAAATAAAACAACAAAATTATCAGGCTGAAACAACAGACTTATTATAAAAGGTTCAATAATATGCATTAGATTGTTATTTAGTTCCTTTTTCCCCATCAGATATTTATAGTTAAAAATATTTTTTAATATTCGACCTACATTTCAGTAACATTTAAGGTTTGTATTAATAACACTCGCCTTAGTCAAAATAACACATAAATATATCCAGTAAAATTTAATGCACTTCATTAACATGCATTTGCATTGAAAATGGTAAGAACATTTAATTTCTGTTGCTAACAATGTAATGGTGGCAGTAGGGTTGTCACAGTAACTGGTGTAGAGGAAACCCCCGGTAAAAAAGTGGACAATAATAATAACCGTCTTGTTTTTAAAAAAATATATATATTATCTCGGTGGATTACCGTGGCTGCGGTGTAGGCGCGGTGACCCTTACCAGCCACGGTATCATCTGCTGAAGTTGCCGGCGGCACATGCGCACTTAGTTGTTTACAACCAAAACTTTCTTAAAGCTAAAGCTGAAATAACGGCCAAAGGAGCAGACGGCAGCGCTCAGGACATGTATTATCCCTCAAAGAAGACAAAGTGGGAAGTATGGGCCTTTTTTAGGTATTTGAAGAATGCCGAGGGACGGTTGATAGAAGACGGCTATCCTGTTTGCAGCATGTGCAGGAAAAAGTGTCTGTGAAAGGCAGCAACGCTTCAAATCTCATGACACATCTGCATGACCATCACCCACAACTCTACAGTCAACGCGAGGCAAGTTAACGTTAGCGCTTTAGCTAAAATGCGTGATCTGAGGATTTGGGTTGAGGGAGAATGCAACGAGCCACTATATACGTAAAGCAGCCGCAGCGCCGCTACCTGCATATAAAACGTGTCGCGGACACCCCCATATTGAAATGACGCTATGCATTATGGGGCTCCCAGAGCAGATAAGAGTTGGTCTCTCGCCGAGAATAATTATGAATTGAACAATGATTACAGCCTGATGACATTTTCCCACATCTGCAAAGCTCACTGGAAGGACACAAACCGAGGACAATATTTTCCTGATATAGGGTTTATTACTCAAGCAATGGTAAAAAAAAGTATCTGATTAGATGGCTACTTGAGTACTGAGTATCATCTGATCTAATATATTTTAAATGATGACATCAAACAGGCAAAAACAAGACGTTATGGGCAAATATTGGCATTTTAAAGACTAAAGGGGAAAAATGTAAACAAATAAACAACATAATTACAAAATAACAAATTTTACACAAACTGAGGACAATATTTTCCTGATATACAGGGTTTACTTAGTTGTCTGAAAATGTAACACGCATAAAAAACTACCGTGATAATGCCGAAAACTGTGATAATTTTGGTCACAATAACCGTGAGGTTACACCTTCACAAGTGACAACTTTAGGTGGCACAGCTATTATTTACGGGTTGGCAATAATCCAGTTGAAATTATGTTCAAAGATATAGGCGTCTGTGAATTATATACTACAACAGCATGACGTACTATCGGCTTCTGTGTGTGCAGCACTTGTAGCAGTTATGTGACTCGTATCTGCATCGGTTCTGATTCGTAGCGCTGCAGGATGCAGAATAAACAGGGTGGTGGGGACTTTTCATCCGCTTGTAGAGTTTAGTCTTAGTTTTACGATCATCATATATTTTTCTGTGTGCCCCTTGATTGTGAGACTGCTACCCATTAGCTTTAGCATTAGCCAATCTGCATGTAGCTTCACTTTTGATCCCAAACTTTGGACCGGTTCTGCCTTTGTGCCTTTGCTGGTTCCTTTATTTTCCTTCACTGCATCGAGATGACCACACTGTGCGCCAGTAAAAAGCATTTTTCTTACACGTAACTTACTTTTGTTCAATAAAGTTCTGGTGAAATTAGTAATTCAAATTTGTTGCACCAGTGCTACATTTAAAAATAGACAGACACACACAGACAGTTTTTTTTCGTCGCACTGTACAGCTCTGCTCTGATATGGAAGAGCCTGGGGGAAATTAAGGACGTCAATAGCACCAACCATAGATATAAAGTAGATAGATATCATCATACATATATGTGAAATCAGGCTGGGGCGGCACGTGGCCGCCACGCAAATTTGAATGCAGGAAAACCCCTAGCTTCTCTTCTACAGCTGTATATTCAGTGTGTATTAAAAGTAAAATACTGTATGAAATAAAACTTGGCTGAGTGGAACACAAAAATGAGCCATGAGTACCGCCAGTAACCGGCAATCAATCAAAATGAGCCATGAGTACCGCCGGTAACCGGCAATCAATCAAAATGTACCATTTTCAATAAAATAATTTTTGTTAACATTTATTCATGTGTTGTGGTTGAATTTGTGGGTCCTTAGTGTAAAAGTTTAAAATACATTAGGTATTTTGACAATAAAAGTTATTAACTTAATTCACTAACCTATCAGTAATACTTACAGCTTTTGTTTGTCAAATAAAAATCACAAAAAGATTATCTCACAGTGATAAAGTACTCAATGTCCACCCACAGGCTGTTGGCTTACTCAGTTACTGTACATTGACCACTTACTGCACACAGGTACACAACGCAGTTTAGTATTAGTAATTACAGTACACATTACAGGTTGATGCAGCAGTTTCTTTTCTTATTCTCTGTGTGACTTAAAGTAATTTAAACTAATTAAACTTTTAATCCACCTCAGTGCTTATTTGCTGGCAGAGTTCCAGGATGAATGCACTTCCGGTAATTATTGTAGTTCTGGACCAGTACTGGTATGTTCAGAGAAGCAAACTCATAGATTGGAAGCAAATATCTTGTTTACAGTTTGAATTGACTAGAAAGTCAATGGCAATAGTTTGGGCTACAAGTCCTTTTGTCAATATGTAGTGCTAAATCCTGGTTAGCAAGCTAAAACAGTGGGTTGAAGTTTGCAGCAAAGCTACGTACATTCAGAGCAATAAAAAGGATCCCTGCAGTGGTTTAAGGAGTAAACTAAAGCCTGATTTATGCTTCTCCGTCTGTGTCAGTGCGGAGCACACGCAACGCCATTATCCGTCCTTGCGTAGGGATTCGGCAGGCACGCAAGTACATACGGAGTCGAGCCCACTTTTTTAAACATCCGTCGAACGAGACGGATTACGCAAGCTTGTGATTGGTCAGGACGCCGCTGTTGTTTACAGCGCCCCCATTGCAAAGACAGCCGAGTTTAACAAGCGGCAGACACGGAGAAGCTTGAAGAATACCTCGCGAAAAAACTCTAAAAATATGAACGTTTCATCCTCCCGTGACTGGAGGAGTGAAAAGATGCGCAGCAAGCATTTTATTTGTGGACGGAAATGGCAGGAAACGTGGGTTTAGAGGTGGGGAGCGCATGAAGCGGTGGGAGAATGAGAGACAAATATGTCCATTTTAAAAGTCTCTTATATACACAAAAAACTCAATATAAACAAACGATCTTGGACCGATACATGACAGGATACCACAGAACAGCGCTACGCCCTCTGTGGTCCTGCCGGGCAATTGCTTTGCAACACTCTCCAGGAGACGGAGAAGTATGAGAGCAAAACGCTTCCGTCAATCCGTGTGTGTCTGTCCCTTGCGGAGCTGACGGAGAAGCATAAACCAGGCTTAAGATAATTCAACTGTTCTGAAAACAAATAAAATATAAAAATGATCCCCTGAAGTTACTTTGTCAAGCTTACAAGATAACACTGGCTACACAAGACCACACTAGTTGTCTATATTTATATGGGCTGCATGGTGGAACAGTGGTTAGCACTGTTGCCTCGCAGCACGAAGGTCGCAGGTTCAAAACTCGCCTTTCTGCGTGGAGTTGCGTGTTCTCCCCATGCATGCGTGGGTTTTCTCCGGGTACTCCGGTTTCCCCCACAGATCACAACATGCCCTATAGGTTATAAAAAAAAATTGTAAGTCGCTTTGGGTAAAAGCTAAGCACATAAACAACACATATTTTTTGACAAAATAAACAAAATACACACACACAAACACCTCACACAGTTAACTATGAATAAAAATAAATCTTACCTGGTTTAGTTGCAGACTTTTTTCTGGTTCCAAACATTAAAACTGTTTCCTTCTGCTTCTCAGATGCTCTGCAGCTGCGTGAATCCCCTCAGTGGTCGTGCACTGATGTTGCTTTCAGGAGCACTGGGAAAGTTGACAACTGCCTGCAGATCTTTAAGTTTTAATGGATTAAAATATTTATTTTGAAAAATTGCTAATGTAATGACTTTTAAAGGAAGTTGTTATGCACTTTTTAACAGTGTGAAATTTATATTTAAAACGACAGCGATCAGATTTTATGTTGTGTAACTAGTGTACTGGTAGTTACACATTTTCCTTGAATGCAGCAGAGGTTTCAGAGTTAGCCAGTCCACTGTTTAATGCCACCCATCCCCCACCCTGACTCCTTGTTGATTAGTGCCTCTGAACTCAAGAGAAACAGCCTGTACAGAACAGAGTTTGGATTGAAAAGGGCCACCTCTCCCTCACCCTGCCTCAATGTTCATGACTTGACCCTGTAGAAAAAAACATTCCCCTTCGTAATATGTTCTTTACATTTTCAACTGGAAATAGAGACAGAAAAAATTTAAATGATTGGTTTACTGTTTGTTTTTTTATCTGAAACCAATTTTTTTTAAATACCTTCTTTTACATGCTTTTATTTTTAAGCTCACATTAAACTTAGCAAATGGGAGAACAGGGTACAGGACTAAATTTGAGTTAAATATTTAATTACCTGTCGGTCAATTCTATGTCTAAGTTTTTATTTGATATAAGTTCTTTAACTTCAGACTTGGACTTTCATCATAATTAATTATTGTGGGGCTTGATGGTGGTGTAATTAGTAGGAATGTTGCCTTATAGCAAATAGGCCACCTGTTTCAATCCAGCTTGCGTGGCCTTTTTGTGTGGAGGTAGCATGTTTTCCCTATGTAAGCGCTGGTTTCTTTCCACAGACCAAAAACATGCACATCAATCAAGGTAACTGGTGAATCTAAATTGTCCCTAGTTATGAGTGATTAAGTGACTGGTTGTTTATCCCAGGGTGTGTCTCTGTGATGGACCGAGGCTTGTCCAGGGTTTCTCTCGCCCTGCCACACTAGTGAGAATGATGTAGTTAAGAAAATTGATTAAATATTGTGAAGACTATTAAAATATACACATGAAACACTACCTGTACATTTAAAGTAATAATATATGCAAACTCTTTGATGAAATTATTAATAGACTTCCTCCACATGTAGCAACACGGTAAAACACCATGTAGACTAAAATGAAAAAATTGAAGCCAAAGATAAATGTATTGATGTGGCGGCCACCAGCAATTTCATACTGACAAGACTGTAATGATAATTTGTAAGTGCTCACAACGTTTCATCCCGATTGGAGAAAGGGAAGTGGGTCAAAAAAATCCCTACAAGCAAAAGCTAAAGGCCCGAAATGGAGCCTGAACTAGATTTGACCTCCTTTTTGGCTGCTGTTCGGCTTACGTTTGTCCGAGGTGCACAAAACTTTTTTGGGGGAATCCCGGTTCTGGCCCAAACCATACACGTCAAAGTCGTGCTGGTCGTAACCCTTTAAGGGTCCGTTTGGGTCGTGTGGGCAGTTTTCCCGCCTTTTTTGCCATGTGGTCTCAAATGTTGCATTTTTTTCAACCGATTTTCACCAAACAAACACTGATTCTGCATGCAGGCGCCACCCCAAGCAAGCCCTGGCAATTTTGTAGCCGTAGCTTGTCATTTGAGTGCTCTTTTGGCCTTGTGGGCACTTGACCGGCAGGTGACTGGGGTCATTCTCTTTTATTGCGATTACTCCTCAATGGTTGGCCCCATTTTCAGAAGGTATGTCTCCATGGGGCCGCACAATCAGAATTCAGTGTCAAATTCCCAGAAACCCCCCAGAAAAAAAGTCCTATGTCTGATTTCAGCCACAAAATAGGGTCTTGGACACATAGCTCCAAAAAAGACCTGATTATTCAGTTGGTCCAAAGTAGAAAAAAAAATTCTGCTTGTGGCAGTGGCCCCATCTTTTAGTATGTTGATCGGGAGCCTGGGAAAAGTCCACCTGGGGTAGTTGCATGCCAAAATCTGTTGTGGTTTCCAAGATATAGCCCCGCAAAACCCGCACTTTTCACTGTTAGGAGGTGGCATACCTTTGGTGCCATGCGTGCCATTGAGGAGGAGAGTGGATTTTCACGCTCACACTAACCCCCCATACCACAAAGTGAAAGAAAACTTGGTCCACGTCCTTTAGGAGGCTAACTTGGTCTGGGAGCAATGTTGGGCAGTGCAATCAACATATTATGAATCGGCACGTCTTTCTTTAAAACATACTGTATCTGAAAGTCATGTCCCTACGAATAAAGAAGCAATTTTAAGTAATTAAAAAGCATTGTTTTTTAAAAAGTGCATCTTCATTCTGGACTACGAGAGAAAGCAACTCAAAATGAAGCCAAGTTTTGACTGTTAAAAGGTATCCCAAACAGCATCTTCATTTAGGGCTGCTTTAAAAAGACTAAAACTTAGGCCAAATTGAAGGGTTAAGCGCCCCTTTCCCCTGCTTGTTTGCTTTGTAACTAGGACAAAGGTGAACCTCATTAAGGCGTGCCTTTAATATTCAGCCGCTGAAACTCGGCTTCTGATTAACCTTGAAATTTTTACTGTAGCTTCAGGTGACCCTCTGGTTGGACCTCCCCATTTTATAGGCTGTTAGGCCATTCAGAAAGGTTAAAGGTCACAAAACATTTTTAGGCCTTTTTCATTTTAGGCTCATTTAAAAGACAGAAACGTAGGCCAAAATTAATTTTTTGGCATTTTTCAGGTAATAGATCGGCCCCTGAATAAGATAAAAATCTGGAAATATTGGTGAAAGTCGCTACTGATAAGTTGTAAGTGCTCACTACATTTCATCATAATTGGACGATGGAAGGTGGGTCGAAAAATCCCTACATGCAAGAGCTAAAGGCCCGAAATGGAGCCTGAACTAGATTTGACCCTCTTTTTGGCTGCTGTTCGGCTTACGTTTGTCCGAGGCGCGCAAAACTTTTTTTTGGTGCATCCTGGTTCTGGCCCAAACCAAACAAGTCAAATCCGTGCCTGTTGCAATGTGCGAGGGTCCGTTTGGGCCGCGTGGGCAGTTTTCCCGCATTTTTTGCCATGTGGTCTCAAAAAGGGGATTTGTGCCTGTTCTAGTGTCAGTTTTAAGGATTTTTATTCATAGATAAGCTGTTACTAGATTATGAATAATAGCAACGCCAATAAAAACTCCAAATTATACAAACAAGTGAAACTGGAAAACTTAGAATATGATGCATTTATTTCAGTAATTAAAGTTAAAGTTCCATAGTCATCATCACACAATGGTGAAATTCATCTCTGTATTCGACCCATCCCCATGAAGCGGAGCGGTGGCTGCGCCCAGGAGTTATTCGGTAGTTTAGACAGAGAGACCATTTAAGGCTCTGGAATACTTTAGAGGTGTTTTTGTATTTTCAATTATTAATTTTGGTTGATTGGGGTCAGACAAAACTAAATATAAATTAAGACGACACATTATTTTAAAAGAAACTCATTTCATATTGAACGGGAAACAAAATTTATTTTATTCCTAATCATGCCCACTCTCGATGATCATTTTTCCTGCTTTGTCCCAGTAACGTGATTATAAATAACTTGACTCCCTTTCACGGGAATCCTGCAGGCCTCACATGATCCACTGGGATCCCAAAAATGTGTCAGCCTCTACTCCACACCTTTAAAAGTAACAAAAAAACTCAATTAAAAGGCTTTGAAAAATATTCACATTGAAAAAATAGCAAATACAATAATTAAGTTGTAAATGTATTCATTATTTTCAATCATTTGTATAATCTAAAATCATCTATTTAATTTTTGTTTTCAAGAACTATATATGTTATATTTAAAATAAACTGAAGAACTTAGTTGTGCATATTTTCCTAAACAACTTCCTGCTTACATTCCAACATGAAAGGAACAGCCACCAAGAAAATCCAAGCATTAGTTAATCAGAAAATTACCATCACAGACAAATTAAAAAAAAATACTGCCAAATAAATATTTTAGCTGCAGTGCTGAGAGCGTCCACTAGAGTGACTCAAGAGCAGTCCACACAGCCAATCAGAAAATTCCCTCCACCAACAAATCAAAAAAATCAACTGTGAAAGAAATATTTTAGCCGCAGTACCGGAGTGTGTCCACCAGAGACACCCAAGAGCAGAGCAGTTCACACACTTTTCAGGGATTAACATCTCTATGGGGTCATATAGTGACAATTAGTCAGAACACTTATTAGGACAAAGGAAGCTTCCTCTAGGGTTTTGGTTGTGTGGACCGGGTAAATGTCCACACAATGGTCAATGTCCACACAATGTTGGTCTCCCATCAGGGGTTGGTCCACACAAACCCATAAAGACAAGTGCACACACACACACACACACACACACACACACACACACACACACAGATGCAGAGTAGCTAATTTTTACCATTCATTCTACAGTATAAAAAACATACAAATGCAGCATGAATGTCACGTCTGAAAGCAGGTTTCTAATTTTACGGTGGAGGCAGCTATCACTGAGACCCACAAGAGATCTTGGGGGAAAGGTGTATTTTTGCAACATTTCATGTTACATTTGCATGCTCTTGCAAATGTTTTGATGCTCTGTGAATGTTTTGCAAAGTATCACTTTAATTTTTGATATCCTACTAGCACATGCACTTATGGGTCAGCTCTGGGGTCTTCGTGGAACATCAGTGATCTGCTGTTATACCAGAATATTAACTTGTGATTTAAGATTCTACACATAAAAATTAAATCTGGATCATAATCATTCCTATTTAAGGAATCCACTTTGAATGTTCTGTTTGTCATTGACTGTATAGTTTACAATGGCTGACACAGCAAAGTTAGAGTATGGGGAAAGAGAGTCATTGCATACTGAAGCATGAATCCAGACATTCAGGGTCTGATAAGTGACTAAAATATTACAACATGAGTGTGAGGACATTTTAAATGTAAACAGGTGGCCAATGTTTCAATAACTGTTGGCATTTAAAGTGGCTTTAAAGGGGCATTATGGAAGTTTGACAGCCAAAACATGTATAGAAATAATAAATTTCGTCTTCATACATTCTCCTGCAATGCCCTGGTCCTGTAGAATGAGCCCTGGCATTTTTACTGTGATTGCCTGTTTTTCTGTAAAATCACAGAAAAAGAGAGTTGAGCTGAGCTGCTCGGGTCGAGCAGGCTGCTTCATGCGCGTTCACGCTCATGCATAGCCCGTAGCATTTGCTATCAGTAGCTTTAGCAGCAGAGAGTGGGGTAGTGCCAACTCAGCGACTTTGTCGCTGTTCCTAACGCCTAGTGATAAACCTAGCTACATTTCTGAGGACCCTTAGCTACTTTCTTCTAGATATTTCCTGCAAATTAGCAACAAAATAGCCATTTTCACTCCGAACCGTTCTTTGAACATTGTTTTAGTTGTAATCAAGGATATAAATATTACAGATACCAAAAGCATCAGTGGTGGTTTAGCTCATCTAGTTAGACGTCGGACGCTCGAGCAAGAGACCTGGGTTTGATTCTGGGTGAGAACACAGTTTTTTTTAGAGTTTCTTTTTTACATTAATGTCTGTGAAGGTTCTCAGTCATCCAGGTCCTTGTAGTCTAAGGAGCTTTGAAAGAAAAGCGTCTGGACTTCTTTGAGTTGCTTGAAGACGTTTCACCTCTCATCCGAGAGGCTTCTTCAGTTCTAAGGTCAAATGGTGGAGAGTCCCAGATTTAAACCCAGTGGGAGTTTCCCCAAAGAGGGAACAAAAGACCCCCTGATGATCTTCTACATAAACACATGAGCCCAGGTGTGAGGGTGGGTGTGGGTCCTATTCAGCAAGAGTTTCGGGTGAGCTCATTGTGAAGCCTGGCCCCACCCTATCATGTGAATTCCTGAGGTCTATGATGAGGTTTATGATGGAATTAATTAGCTGACCCCGTCAGCTTCACAGAGCTTCATCTCAGCTGTTATTTTCGTTAAGGAGTGTGCACGTACAGCATGCGTGCCTCGTGCACGAGCCTCTTATTGAAGCTGCCATTACGCTTTTGGCCAGAGGGGGCAATCGCGAGCATAAAAATTTTAAACTCCGTAAAGTCCCTTTAATTTTTGTTCATTCTAAACATGACGAGATAAAATTTTGGCTAAAATAGAATAAAAATCCTGGACCCAACCCCAAAATGTGTTGGAAAATAAAACTTTGTTATGTTTGCTGATGACATGAGCGTATTTCAATAACGTCACAGGATCTACACTCGATTCCATTTAACTTTGTGCTGATGGTCACTACTATTACTCATAAATAAATTTCATTACTAACTAAGTAGGCAAAGCTCTTTTGATCTTTGAGTCCCTAATTTTTAAGGCTTGAAGACCTCACAAACGTGTTATTGTGAATTGATGGAACTATAATGTTAGAAAAAGATTGTACTCAGAGTTTTCCCGACATCAAGTTCTTTCTCTTTGCGCTCATCCCTTCAGGCATTGTCACAACCAATCATCTGTCTGCATTTAGTCCTATCTTCCGCACCCTCACACCAGCTAACTTCACGGCCTCTTTCTCCCCAACCAACCGCAGCACCCTTCTACCATTGTAATCTTTGTCTCTCCTCTGGACATGTCCAGACCATCTCAGTCTTTCTTCTCTATCTCCAAAACATCTAACAAGAGCTGTCCCTCTAATGATCCTATCCATCCTCATTACTCCCAAAGAGAACCTCAATTTCCAGTTCTGCTGTCTTTTGCTCCTAGACAGTCTCTAGACCAGACAACATGACTGGTCTCACAACTATCTTTCATTGTTGCTTATTCTTTCACTCATTAATCGCACACACCTGATGCTTTTCTCCTCCTTTTCCAACCTGAACATGCTTCTTCACCTCTGTTCCACACATTTCGTTGCTTGGGGCCATAGCACTTAAAGTCCTCTACCTTCTTTACTTGTACAACCAAAGAGAGACATAATGTGAAAACCACAGTTCATCTGCGACAAGCAAATGTGCTCCAAAGGTCCTTGGTACAACAATCATGCAGGTGAATCTTTTAAACCATGGATGAAGAAACAATACAGATTCAGCCCCAATCAAATAACTTAATTAAATTCATAATTTCAATTTCAGGGACTAAATTAATAATCAGTAAAAGTTAAGTGTCTGCTCCATTGATTGGTTTCAGGATTGGGTTGGAGTGGGTGAGGATATAATTGTAAAAGCGGGCCAGAAAACCAACTTGGATCACGCCATTCACGCTGTTATTGGTATCTCACAGATGTGAGAAGATGCTGGTAAGTAGAATGGTTTGGTCAGCATCTACAAACACGCCTCATCATATTTGACCACAGCCACTTGTAGATGGAACGTATGTAGATTTAACTCCGCCTGCTAAGTAAAAGTCCAAGTGGTGATGAAAATGTTCTCCTAACATCGCCGCCCCAGACCGGTTCATACTGGTTGATACCGGCCCAAAATTACCTGCTGCGACCCAGCCCATTCCACTCAATGGAACTGAAGCATTTGCAATCAGGAGGTATTTAGCATTTAGCAGAACGCTGTTTATTTATGACAATATGGGCTTGTGAAATATTGGATCAGTATTGTTTATTGTTGGTGAGTTGCAACACCGCTCCACAACACTAGAGGTGATAGTGGACCAGTGTGCTGTAAGAGGTTGACCTTTTTAAAGGGAGCCTAAAGCCTGAGTCATGCTTCTCCATCAGCTCCAAAAGGGAGAAACACGCACGCACAGACGGAGATGTTTTGTCCTCATACTTCTCCATCTCCTGGGGAGTGTTGCAAAGCAAATCCCCGCCAGGACAGCAGAGGGCGTAGCGCTGTTCTGTGGTATCCTGTCATGTATCCGGTCCAAGATAGTGTGTTTATATTATGGGGTTTTTTTGTATATAAGAGACTTTTTAACACAGACAAATTTGTCTCTTATTCTCCTCCACCTCTTCATGGGCTTGCCACCTCTAAACCCACGTTTCCTGTCATTTCTGTCCACAAAAAAAAATTCTTGCTGCATATCTTTTCACTCTTCCAGTCACGGGGGAATTAAACGATCATGTTTTTAGAATTTTTTCGCGAGGTATTCTTCAAGCTTCTCCCGTGTCTGCCGCTAGTTATCCTCGGCTCTCGTTTATGGTTTTGAGGGCATAATGCCGGCGGTGTA